TCCGATATAAATATGAGATGGTAATCCGAAGTAAGCTGGCGCAAACTGTGGGATCCCCTTTTTTATAGATCCCTGCGTCTCGTCATCTCTGCACCGCAATGCCCTACAAGACTTTGCTTCGGTCTTAAAACCTTTTGCAAGTCGCCATATTTTTTTAGCTCACGGTAGCCCCTCAATAATAATATCAGCCTTAAAATTCAACTCAGAACAAACTCTTGCCATCAGGTGCTATTTTGAACTGAGTACGTATTTGAAAGTAGAGTCTTGTGTTGATGAACGAAGGAACGAACGAACCATGTATTCTACAAGTTGCTTATCATTCCCGTCTCGCTTTATGGTGCGACGGCGTGGACAGCAACAACATCTGATGAGTTCGCGTTAGGAGTTTTCAAAGAGAGGGATTGCTTAGGATTATGTTTTACTGTGCATTGGCAAAGGGCAATACCGCATCCGGTGAGCTTTACGAGATCTAAAAGATGAGGTGCCAACATTGATAGATTTTATTGAATACCCTAGTAAGGATTGTTGCTAGTATTAAGCGAAACTATCAGTCGTATTACTTAATTGTCGTATGTGAGATTGGCGTGTGAGGCCCTGGGTGTGTGATTTAAAACAATTTCTCATAGATTATTATCAAGCGAGCTTATTTCGCGCGGGGGCGGGTGGAGGCAACCATTGTGAGCTTTGGCGTTTGGTTTCCGGGTCGTATTGAAAAAACCAGCACTCATTTACAATTTTAGCGTACGTTTCCGAAGCTGTTTTCCCCAATTTGGTGTGAGGAGGACCACGTTTACTTAACACGACACAGCAGGCGAACTAAACCAGCTGGCAAAAATATCAGTGGAGAGGAGAAGAATGCCGGGTGGAGAGAAATAGAATTTCACGGTCACAAAGTTTCCACAATACCGACAATACCGGCAGTATAATCAGTCTCATTATTATATTGCCTCACCTCGTACGACGTAAAGATCAAACTGCCGTCCTGCATTATCTTTTCGTTTTTATTTTCCTGGAAAAGTCATTACATTGCTTCTGTTCCAATATGCGAAATAGCATTTCCATACGTACATAAGAGTTGCACATAGTATTTTGGAGAGAATCTGGAGCTTTCACTTTCATTGAATCATACTACCTTTGTAAGCTGGGCTATCGTATGCAGTAATCATACAAAGAAATATGTAATGATTTCTTTTCGTTAGCTAACAGATCTTCTGCCTTTTCAAAGTATCATACACAGGCAGGTATTTAAATTTTTCAAGGAATCTGAATTCTCATATAAGCAAAAAAAAGTTTGGCAGCAGTATGAGCGCGCTTACCGGTGCTCAGAAGAATGCTTGCTAAGTAAAAGAGAGTGGCGAGATATCAAACCTGGTCGGGGGCTGTCCCACAATCGGCCCACTTTAAATATTTTCAACATTGCAATACAAATCATATCTAATGCTTACTGACCTTTATATATATGTATGTGTATGGCTCATACTAGTAATGTATTATATTGAAAAATTTAAATTTTTTCTTCACGCCAAGCGTACGGCGCCAATTTCATGCTAATTCAGGTTGTCTATTGCCGGCAATTCAGCACCCATCATTCTTGCGCTGTCTCTGCATTTAATAGTTTGTGCTTCTGAGTGTGTGTGTTCGTATACATACGTGTATGTCTGTGTGTGCTACTCATATGCATTCAATTCATTTCTGCTATTCTGCAAATCACTCTCTTTGCCCTCAATTCCAATTAAAGCATTGCATGTATGCATGCGTCTACATATATGTCGCGATGTTCGTGCAACACGGGTGGCATAAATTCATTAATTCATTTTGGTGCCAATGTGGCAGTGCAACGTTTGTGAGTGCAGTTGTTGTTGTGTGGACGAGTTTCTTTTTTATTTTAATTTTTTCATATTTAGTTTTGTAAATTTGATTGCGGTTTTCTCTGCGATTTTATTAGAACGCGAAAGTGTAAGAAGTTAAAAGCCAATGTCATATCAGCACACAGACCAAAGAGAAGAAAATGCATGCCACATATGCCTAAATATATGCTGTGTATGTATGTACTCGTATTTCAGAAATTGCATGTTGCATTGAGTATTCATATGCAGAAACATACATTTTAATGCGGACTTATATAAATGTGTGTTTTTGTGAATCTCTTGGGAGCACCTTTTTCATTTTACTTTCGAATTTACATAAATAACGCTGTGTGAAAGGCATGCACAACACAAAAATATTTTCCATTTGACATTGCATTAATGCCACAAATATATACGTACGTATATAGGTACATACAAACATATACTCGTATGTGCGTGCTTAATTTATGTGTTTGTAAGTAAGCGTGTGAACCCATCATTGTGCGTAAGTTCGCTTATCTGAATTCTGCAACACATCAGCTTAAAATGTATGAAAGTTTCTATGTATTGTATTCGTATGCATTTATATTAGTGTGTGTGCAATGTGTATGCAGGGGATAATAAACGAAAAAAAAAGCGAACGTCAACTTGTTGCAATAAGGTGAAAGCGAATAGCTCGATACTCATCTGCACATCATCATTTCCAATTGTTGATAAATTACATTCGCTGTGCACCTCCTTTCATGATTTGCAGCTGCCGCCTTTTACTCATATTTTCAATGGAATGACCATAAGCCAACGCCATGGACACCTCGTGGCTACCCGGCATTTTGCAAAGCAGTGTGAATTAACTACTTTACTTTAACTTTACATTTATTTATTTCGTTACATTTTGTTCTATTCAATTTCATTTAACTTCATTTAATTTACATAAATTTTAGTGAGTATTATATTATTTTATTTTTATTTATGTTACTATACTGTAATTTATTTAAATTCATTTTTATTTTTTTTATTCTTTTTTAAATTTGTTAATGTACTTTAAATTTAATTTAGTATGATTTAATTTAATTTAATTTTTTTTAATATAACTTATTTTATTTTATTTTTTTTTATTCCATATTATTTTATTTTATTTAAATTAATTTTATATCATTTTATTTTTAATTTTATCTTTTATTACATTACTCGTATATTATATTTAATTTTTTTTGTAATTAATTAAAATCTATTATATTTGGGTTATTTTATTTTATATAATTTTAATTATGTTTTTATTTTATTTTATATTATTTTAGTTTATTTTATTTAATATTGTTTAATTTAATTTAATTGATACTAATTTTCTTTATTTTATATTATTTTATTAATTTTTTTTATATTGATATATTTTATTTTATTTAGTTTAAGTTTTTTTTAATGTCATATAAATCTATTTTGTTTTATTTGATTTCAATTTTATTTTATATGATTTTAATTTATTTTATTTTAACTTAATTTATATTATTTTATTTTTTTATTTTATTTTATTTCATCTTATTTGCTTTTATTTAATTTTTATTTTTTTACCTTTATTTGTATAGATTTAAGTTTTGTTGCTTTCTTCGATAAAGGAACAAACTATCAGTACAAAATATTATTGCGTACATACGAAACTGAAATGAGAGTGCGTGCCGATAATAATAAAAATATTTCCTTCTTATTTTTTATTCTTTTTATAGGCAGGAAATGGCAAAGTGTACGTAACGCTAGTGAAAGTTATAAGAAAATATTAACTGATCATTGTGCCGTTAAAAAGTCAAACAGGAATAAAGATAATTCAGTGTCAAAAATATGTATACCCTACCACAACGAGAAATTACATATGAATGAATCTTAGTGATTGTTTATATGTGTTCCAACTTGACTGAAAATATATCCTATATTTAACAGTTTTTAAAATTTCAATATTTGGCATATAACCGTCAGCTTTCATAGTTGAAATGAAACCAATTTTATTTTATAATTTTTTGTTTTGTGTTAATTACAAATAAAATAAAACAAAATTAAAATAAAATGAAATGAAACGAAATTAAATAAATTAAAGTAAATAGAATAAAGTTTATTAAAATAAAATAAATATTTTAAATTCAATAATCCAAAAAAAATAAAATAAAAAAGTATAAAAAATTAAATTTTATAAATCAAAATAAAAGAAAATAAAACGAAATTAAATTTAAAAAAAATATGAAAATATAAAATAAAATAATATTAAATTAAATTAATATAAATAAATTAAACTAAAACAATTACAGTGAATAAAAGGATTTAAAATGACATAAATTTAAAAGTCAATAAATAATCTTATTTAGATAAAATTAGCTTAATTAAATTAAACAAAGTTTATTCAATATAATACTAAAATTAAATAAACAAAATGGAATAAAATAACATTAATTAAAAACTGATATTGGTATACTCCTAACAACATCACAGAATTTCGCTAGCGTTTTAGTTAAATTTAATGTTTATTGCTAAGCTATTAAGCTAAAGCCTTTCACACTTACCAATGCCTAATGCTTTGCAAAAAAGAAAGTAATTATAATTTTCCATTATTAAGAAATTATCAGCGAAAAATTTGCATTAAAAACTTTACCTCCTGCAAAATCAACAAATGCAAAAATTTTTGACACTGGACACATCTTAACGCTGTATGAGGTTTCGAATTCGTGGCGTAAACACGTATCGCACGCTTGGCTAGTGAATTTTTTTTATTTTCTTTTCTTGGCACAAGTGTTGCAGGCAGCTGTTGTTTGCTCTCCTTGTTTCACTTTGTTATATTGTTCCTGACACAGCATCTGCTTTAGTTTCATGTTGATGGCTATAAACTGATTAGTTGCCGCTGATTTTACTTTTATAATATGCACATATGTGTATATACGAATTGTAAACAAATGATTTGTTAATAAAATTTGTTGCTTAGAAAGTTTGTTGGTCGAGTCTTTTATTTGGTTGCATTTATTGTTGACTTATATAGAAGTGTTTGTATGTTTGTATGTACGCCTGAACAAAGAGTCCACTTGTTTAATACATAAAAAATTGTAACTTAGCACTGAAAAGAGATTAAGATTAAAATTTCAAATAAAAATTTGAATCATTCGATTCTATACCGGAAGTAGGAATAGGAATTTTTTAATAATCTTCTTTTCCAGAAAGAATAGTATAAATAAAATAAAAATGTAACATTACAGCTCGTTGAAATACTATTCATTTATATGTTTGTTGTCATCGATTGTCATTTAATTTATGTGCGAGTCCGTACTTACATCGAACACTTTCAATTTATTGCTTTGCTTCGAGTGTAACTTTCAATTTCAAAGCAGCTGCAGCAGCGATGAACACTGGAACTACCAACAATGCCTACTTCACTTTCGCACTTTTCACTAAAATGGTAAATTTACCTTTATGGTAGTGGAGGCCTGCTGCCGGTGCGTGCGTTGCGACAAAAATTGTTTTCAAAGAAATGTTATTGGTATTGTCTAGATGCTATACTGTTAGTCCGTGGACCGGCCACATGTGCTCTGCCGTTGTGGTTTAATGAATGAAGTGAACGAAGAGCGCAATATATTAGATACAGGGGGATGTACATAGATGCGACGAAAACTAAAATAAAAAATAGGTTTAATTAAATTAAATATTAATAATTATGAATTAGATATAACTAGTTTAAGGTAATGTAAAAAAAAACAGAATAAAATAAAATAATAAAAAAAAAAATAAAGCAATGTAAATAAGTTGAAAAAAAAATTTAAAATAAAGCGAAGAACTAAAATAAAAAACAAGGTGAGACAAAGATAAAGATAAAAAATATGATCAAAAAAAATAAAACAAACCAAAATAGAATAGAATAAAATAAAATAAACAAAATAAATAAAATAAAATAAAATAAAATAAAATAAAATAAAATAAAATAAAATAAAATAAAATAAAATAAAACAAAATATAATAAAATAAAATAAAACAAAATATAATAAAATAAAATAAAACAAAATAGAATAGAATAAACTACAATAAAATAAAAAAATAGAATAAATTTAAATTAAATACAAAGAAAACTTAAATATGTGTAACAAAATAGAAATAAAAAAAATAAAATGAATTAAAATATATGTAACAAAATAAAACTTAGAAATGAGAATGTAAAATAAAATGAAAATATGGAAAATTAAACAAGCAGTGAAATAAAATAAAATAAAATAAAATAATATTAAAGAAAATAAAGAAAAGGCAAAAGCAAAAACAAAATAACCTATGAACTTGGTTTCCTGAGGAATCACCCTTTAGCAACGTATTTATTTGGAAAGCGCGTCACTGAAAGCTGAATTTTTCACATACTCATCTTTGTTTATTGGCATAAATACAAATGTCCAAATTAAGCGTATAGAAATAAATTTATGTATTTGTCAAGCGGCTTATTGTCAATAACAAGGCAAGTTATAAAGAGTTGCTCAATATCTGCCTTACATACAAAATATTTTCATGTCTCTCTCTACAATATTTTTCACTTTTAAATTATATGAATTAAACGTTTCGCTAGCGGCGGTTTCCCTACACATATCTATGTCGTAAATACATCCATCCAACAAGCACAATTTTGTTATAGCAATTATAATCTGAAGTGATGACTTCATTATAACTGGAAAAAATTGTTTATCACTTTGAAGCGCGTTCGTTAGTCGCTCACTTAGCCATTTGCTTGTACACGCATCTACGTCTATTATTTTTGTTGTATTTTAGTATATAATTTTTTAAGTTTTAATAATTAATTTTAGATTAATATAAATTATTTTATATAATATTATTTGTCATTATATTAAACAACTTCTAACTTTTTTTACTTTAATTTAATTTTTTTGAAACAAACATCAGAGATATTTTTCAGCATGCAAATTGTTAAAAAAGTTGGTAAAAACAAAATTTAAATTTAAAAAATGAAAAAAATTTGTCTAGAAAAATTTACATTTAATTATTTTTTTTATATGTAAATTGCAAGTTGGTAAACTCACAAAGCCTACACACAACCAAATCGCCCATTTGTCCCTCCTCGACTGAAAATGTTATTAACGCTGAGGCTTATTCACCTGTAACGGTATGCATGTAATACACGTGTAATTATATACAATCTTTCATATTTACAACCGTAAGTATGTATATATGCCTCCGGTATTCGGCGCATGCGTGCCCATCGGCACACAACCGTACAGCTGTATGAGTGCAGGTGTGTCTCTTTCGAACAACATAATGATCGTCACAACAACAGCGCACTATGAATATGTATGCGACGCAGTCGCACATTGATGCTGTTGACAAGCACGTTGACAACAGCAGGCGGCGGCAGCAAGCCACAGCAGTGGCATTAACCATTGAAAATATGTAAAAGATGTCATAAAATGCGACACAAATACCATCAAGTGAAGAAGAAGAAAAAGAAGAAGCAAGCAACGCAACGACTTTCCCTTTTTCTTAATTAATTTATTAAAAAGCAAAAAATTATCAAAACGAAATATGTAAGCAATGCAGTTCCTATGGTCAAACGTAGAAATGGAAATTACAGCAAAGGAAATCGCCGTAAAAATTACAGCTACTTTCAATCTAAAAATATTGCGTTGATTTTTATAAATTTTCACGAAAGATTTTTACGTTTTTTTTTTCTTTATCACCGCAATCACAAGATTTCTAGTTAAAGAAATATATGTCTATAGTAAATTATGTCATCAGCCTTCACTCATTACGTTAAAATGATCTTAATGCAAGACAGCAGACAGCAGCCAACGCCTATCGTCACTAATAAGACTAATGAAAACCGTAAGGCTGAAGAAGAAAAAAATGCATATTTCCACATGCAAGGCAATGACCACCACAAAACTAGGCTTTTTTGCTATCAACACTCGCATGAATAACTCGTACAAATGTATGTATGTATAAATTTCCATATAACTGTGCACAGCTTGCGAGCTTGATTTAAGCAAAGTCATTGTACTTTATTTGATAGAAGTCCAACAAAAAAAAAAAAAAAAAAAGAAAAGGCACTATCAATTCGTCAGTGTCCACTTTTGCTTGGCTGTGGTCATTCTACTTTTTGTTGGCGCACATCCAGTGAATTCCTATGGCAATGAGAGTGCATAAATTTTTCTGCTGTTAACCTGTTGGCTTACTTTAGCCGATGTAATTAATTAAAATTTATTTATTTATTAAATAGATTTTTTCTCATTCACATTTGCAGCACAACGCCTGGATACACAGAGTCTTAGCGGTGCTTTAAACGCGCAAGGGATTTTCGATCGAGCTCCACCTCCGATTTGTGGTTTGAGTCTTGCGGTTTTCCCAATAAATCGAAACCACCTAGTAGTACCTAGCAGTACGCACGAATATATCGAAAGTAAATATAAATAAACTAAATATAAATTTGAATGAAAAACCTAAGCAAACTCACTCTTACCAACAGACTTTAGATTGAGCAGACAACTGAAAAGTAAATTCCTCTATCGATCAAAACCAAGTTCTATAAGTCGTTCCCCTCCAGCGGCTCGGCGTTAGCACTCTTCGAGAGAAAGGGGAAAGAAGATCTAAATCTAAAAATTGCATATAAGTCTAAATCTAAATTTAAAACGAAATCGAAATCAAAATCTAAAAGCAAAACTGAGCAGATATGAAAGCGCAAAAATTTACCAAAAAAAAAAAAAGAAAACAAAATGCAACAAAGACTTTTTAATCATCCGGTATTTCTTCAGTTCATTAACTTTTGCAACTTTATTACAGCGAAGAGAAAAGCAAAAGCCACCATAAATTATTAATTAAAGAAAATGTCTAGAAATTAAGTTATTGTTCATGGATCAAGGGCCATACAAAATCGTCAGCATCAATGTTGTACGAAGCGAATATAAATGGTGATTTTTAAAACAAAACAGGGGGAAAAAACTAGCGAAAAACCACAGTGAAAAGCTTTTTATTTGCTGAACTAACTGACCGTAGCGGCAAGCCGTCAAGAAAGGTGAGCTGGCAAAGCGGCAAAGTGCCAAACGGGCGGACATGCAAATCGACTGCTAAGCACACGGGCGGATATTGCAAACATGAACTTGAGTACAAAGACACTGAATCGAGTTGGTGGTAAAATGCATTTCGCACCGTTAAGAGTTTGTATGCACGTGAGGGAAGAAGAAGGCGAAAAAACCAGAGAAAAAGTGTTGAATTCAAATAAATGAAACAAAAAGTGAAATATGTCACTGCTGCTACTCATCACAGCCAGACTTCAGCAGGCTACTCGCAGTGTAGCGATGGAAAATCGAAAGACAAATACACAGACAAATGCAAATATTATCACTCGTACAATAAGAAAAACAAAAGCAACCAGCTGCAGGCGGTTTCAAAACAACTCTAACAAGCTTAGGTGTGTCGAAATGCAATTCAAAGCATATTCGTGCGGCGCTGTGTGTACACACACACACATACACACACACATACTGTATGCCTAAACACGTCAGTGTCACCGAAAGTTGACAATGTTACATGAACTTGTTGAATGTTGCAAGTTTGATTGTGGCTTGTAGTTTACGGCTTGTGTCTTTTAGTGCGGCCGTCGACTTAAAGCAGCAACAACAGTAGTCACAAGCCAAGCAAACACACATTGATAGATACTTGCAAACAAGACATATTTACTCGCATCCATTCGATTTGGCCACAATTGGAAAGAGTTGCCTTTCCCGCGTACAACACAAGCATAGCGAAAGCATTATGGCTTGCGCGTAGCGGTAAATACTCCAAGTTTACTTAAAAACATTTTAAATGCAAACACATACATTTATTTATTTACAAACATATATACATAAATATATGCACAATAAGCCAAGCTACTGCTGCAACCAAAGCTGTAAATTTAATGAATGAAATTTTTATTTCTGGAAATTTTTTGAATTGACAATGAAAATTCAGAGGTCTCGAGCTCGATTCGATGCGATTTTGTTAATGAAATTTTTGTTCATGTACAGACAGACAAACATGGCTAAATCGATTCATCTCGTCATTCCGTGAAGTTCGATATCAGTAAACTCCTACATACATATATATTTATACTTGTATATATAGGTACATAAAGGGTGTCTTTTTAGCTATTATCTTTCTCACTGTCAAACATCTTCACATGGGTCTCTAATTTAACCATGAATCGTCTTTCCAGCGAACAACGCTTGCAAATCATTGAATTTCATTATCAAAATGCGTGGTCTGTTAAGAGAGTACATCGTCCGCTTCTTCCACGAGCTTATTTTTGGCTTAATGGGTGCGTAAATGAGCAGAATTGTCGATTTTGAAGTGATGATCAGCCAGAAGTATTGCAAGAGCCACCAATGCATCAGAAAAAGTCACATTTTGGCATCATTGAACCGTAATTCCTCAAAGATTATCCAAATCGTAAAGAATGGTGGTTACGGTGAGCCCTAACTCGAGATGATATCAAACTTTTTTTTCCCAAAAAGAAAGAGCTTGACTTGCATAACATGTAGTTTCAACAAGACCGTGCCACATACCACACAGCATGCGTGACAATGGACTTGCTGAGAGGCGAGTTCGACAAAAATTTTATTACACGTTCGGGACCGGACAATTGGCTGCCTAGATTGTGAGATTTAACGCCTGTAGACTATTTTTTGTGGGGCTATGTTAAATCTAATGTCTATGCAGAGAAGCTCGCTTCAATCGACGCATTGGAGGACAACGTTGAAGCATTTATTCGTGAGATACCGCCCAAAATGTTGGAAAGAGTATGCCAAATTTAATTAATTTAATTTTTTTAATTTTATGTATTTTTTTAACTTACCTATAGCTCTTAAAAAATCACCCTTTACCTGTGTTTGTGTCTATATATTGAAGCATAAGCAGATATTTTAGATCCAAGTTTTTTTCATGTTTCTTTGGTTTTTGGTCTTTGGTCTTTGACAGAAGAAAATTCAAGCCTTGAAATTAGGTACAAACTGCAATTTACGCGTTAATAAAAACCCAGACAACAGGCGATCGCTTGCCGTCTAATAGATGAATTAAATCCGAAGTCCTTAACTCATTCCCATCTCTGAATACAATTTTTCTATGATGCGGATGCACCAAGCCAACAATTAGCCTTATTTAATCTTCTCAACGGTGTGCCGGTCCTCCACAGGTTGGGTTAACCTTAGGCAGGGAATGCAAACTCTCCGAGTATATTTCGGACATGAAGAAAAGCTCCTACAAAAAGTTCATAGAAACCCTAAAACGAAGAGGCTTATGATAATATGAAGTTCCCTCGCCCTAACAAAGTGTCATGGTAGGCAAACAAGGCACATTTGGCCAAATAATCGGAAAATTAAGCTTTCGCGACGAAATATTCCTAAACAAGCTGGCGATGATGGACATCAGTGTTGCTTTTACAAAACTCAAATGCACAAAAGGTACGATGAGGAGTGCCTATCACGGAATGTTACGATCGAAAGTAACATCGGCGGTAACGAAAAGACACTGAGGGCTGAGCAGAGTAGCAGGAAACATTTGCAGTCCAGAGGCGAGAATCTGAAATACTTGATGATATGACTAAAAGAAGGAATACTCGAAAATTGATATCATCTTTCAGATGGTTTCAAAACAGAAGCTTCTCTCTGTAGGAACCAAAATAGAGATCTGGATACTGAGGGTCAGATACTATTGGAGAACACTTCTCCTTCCGTTTAGTAATTTCCCAATTAAAGAATAACAAAACGACGGGGCGGATGTACCAGCTTCTTTGTGGAAAATGCTCGGCAAGCAAGCCCGACGATAGGAATCTGAGTGTGCACTGTCGAATTCACAAAATGGAAAACTCCGAGATGTGAGCGTAAGTAAGACTAAGGCCAACAATGTGGCTATATACCTGGCAAACCTACCGTTGACCTTATCATGAAAAAGACCTATGTCTATCTTTATACTTTGTCGATATAATTAAACCTACGCCGCCATGTCTGAATTCGGTATCACCGCAAAACTTATATGCTTGTGTAAATTGACGCTGAGTAACATCATTAGTTCATTGAGAATAGGAAAGAATCCTTCCGAGTTGTTTGGTACTACAAGAAGCTTCTGAAAATATGACTTTTTTCTAGTGGCTACTTCAGCTTATTGCTGAAGAACATGATAAGAAGTGCAAATCTTTTATAAGAGTGTAGGACTCAGGCTTCGAAATGCAGCGTAGGATCGGATCACTCAACTCAACTCGTGCTACTTTCGACAGAATTGGCACGTTTTACCTTATGGGGCAAAAGCGTGAACATGAGTTGGCTCAGGTTTTATAGACGGCAAATATTGCTGACGAGGTTTATGGAATATGCGATGACGCGCTGGTTGGTTCATAACGTCCGGATGGCCTAGAACACTTCAGTTCTGAAAGCATTTGACGTGGCCGGTTGTTATTTAAAATGTTGTTTAAATTTGTTGTACACCAAATGACTAACTATTTTGAATATTCACCTGTGCAGTTGTGTTTCTTGAAATATCTCGATGTCATAACTCAAATTCTATTTCAAATGAACTCTTAGCCTACTGCCTATTTACATTTTATTGGAATATTCAAGCACATTTTTTTTCAAGTATTGAGACGGGAAAGGAAATGCCACAGAATCTACTACTGATGCGACAACTCGACAGCATAACAAAATATTCATGCAACAAATGTTAATTATTATTTTGACTTAAATTTTATGCGCTTTTAATATAATTTTGTTATTTTTTTTTTTTTTTTAAATAATTTTCGCTCAGCGAGCTACGCAAATTTTCCACTTGATTTTTTCATAAATTAGTTTTATTTTTGGCATTGTTTGGCTAACAGGCAGACCACATAGCGCGCATATGTATATATGTATATATATATATATATATATATATATTTATATTGTATATATGTGCAGGATTTTATATATATATTTATATCTTATATACAATACAAATTTACTAACATGCATAATTATGTACGAACTAAATTTATTTCATTTAAGTTGTACAATCAGCGCTGCTGCCACCGTCGCTGGCACCGCCACTGCCACTGTTAAGCGCGCTGAATGCAGCCAGCGGAGCTGCCTTGAAGTCACAATGAAGTGAAAGAAATGAAAGAAAGAAAGACTTAATCGAGAAACTTGCTGAACCAGTCTTCGTTGCCACCGTTGGTGGTAGTGGCTGATGACTGCTGCTGCTGCTACCATTGTTGGCGTTTTTGTTGTTGTGCATGACACTGGCAATGATTGTAAGCTGGCAGTGAAAAGAGCAACGGCAACAGCGCAACCTCTGCAACAACGGGCAAAATACAGCAAACAACACCAAGTCAGCAAACAACAACAACCACAATAGTACAACGTCGAGAGCAGAAAAGAAATGCGAAATGACAAAATGTACAAATGCTTATACTCAACACTGTTGGCGCTTGGCAGCTAGCAGCTGGCAGCTGGCAGCTTTGTCAAATTGTATGTGTTTTTGTTGTTGCCAATGGAAGCACAGCCGGTGTTTGCTTTGGTACGCTTGCAGCGACTGCTCTTACCGTTGCGCCGTTCGCACATTCTCTGCCTCCGTCCGCCATGCGCGGCCGGCAATGGCTATGTATTTGCGCCGACGCAGCCAACGACGCTGAAGAAGAGTGTAGACGCTATATAAATTGTTGAGACTATTGGAAAATTGTATCATTTCATCCTTTCACGTCTAAACGGCAACACAACGAACCGAGCAACAAATAACATAAGTGATAAAGCGGTGCGCTTTTGTTTTCGTACGATCCCGTTAATGTTGTGTGTGGATTGATTAATTTTTTTCTGTTAACGAAGAAGAAATTCATTTTTGGTTATAACTGAAAAGAGAAAGTGCATTCGATTGAAAGTGTGCAAGTTCAAAGTTCGCAACTCGAGACCGAAACACAAACAAACAAAACAAAAACAAGCGAAAGCTGAAAAGTTACATAATTAACAAAAGAAGGACTTTGAAACCTTAAATCAAATTTTTTAATTAACCTCCAGAAATAATAAAAAAAAGTGTTTTGCAAAAATGTCACAAAAGAGAGCAATTTTCGGTGTCTTGTGCCTAATCACAGTTGCTGCCGCCCTACCCGCCGAGGAGACACGTGGTCACGCACGCAATGCCGTCAGCGGCGATAACGACATTATGGATAGCATCTATAGCGATTGCCTGCGCAAGGATTCGGTGTCGTGTGTGAAATACAAGCTCTTCAACTTTGTCGACAAAGTGCTCTCCGCTCGCGAGCAATTCTCGCTGACCGATGGTGTTACAGTGGTGCGCTCACCCGATGCGCCCGTTAATGAAGCGGCACGCTCCATCTCCGGCGATGAGTCATTTGAATCGCTTGCACTCAATCGCATTTCTGGCTTCTTGAATACACACACCATTAAGGTTGAATTGAAGGGCGCCGATATTGTACAGGCTGTCAGCTCGACCGGTCGTGCGCTCGAAGATGTTTCCGAATCATTGTTCGGCGGTAACGATGATCCCAATGCGCCTGAGGAGAGCCGTGGCAAGAAGAAGAAGGCTGCTAAAATTTTGGGCCCCATTCTTGCTTTGGTTGCGCTGAAAGCGGCCGCTCTTCTGCCACTCTTGTTGGGTGCCATCGCTTTGATTGCCGGTAAAGCCTTGCTCATCGGTAAAATCGCCTTGGTACTATCGGCTGTTATTGGTTTGAAGAAACTCTTGTCCCAAGAGAAACATGTCACCTACGAAGTTGTCGCACACCCACACCACAGCTCATCACACTCCGTCAGCCACGACTCGTACGGCAGCGGGTACAGCGCTGATGCTGGCGCTTCTGGTTCATACGGCAGCTCTGGCCATGGCGGCTGGGGACGCTCGTTGGACGCACAAGACTTGGCTTATGCTGCACAAAAGCCACAAGCATAAGGTGCTGCAGCGAATTTGGGGTAAACGAATAGACGGGACATTTAGACATTTGATAGGGAGTTAAAAAGGAATAAACAAATTGAAAAATAAACCCAACGACCAGCGACGAAGAAACAAACATTGATTCGTAATACGATTTGGTATAGTGGACTGGCGTAACGGTCAGCGGTAGTGAAGAGAAAAGACGACAACAACAACTGGTGCAGCTGCATTGCAAACAACATGACATTATTTGGGTTAAAGCGCGCCGCAGCCACGATCGCAACGCGTTACTTGTGACACAACGACCACAAAAAAATATACAAACAAAAACACATTTTAATTATATTAATTTATTTTCTAATTAATTTATTTAATTTATTGCATACTTTTACTTTCATTATAAACAAAACAAAACAAAACAAAAAAATTAAAACACATAACCTTGAACTTTTCGATCACTGGTTATGGAAAGTAAATATTTTACAAAAAAAAAAAATGTTCAGAAAAAATCCGAGAACAACGAATACATATGAATATGCTGATGAAAAACAAACGAAAACTTATATGTATATAAAGAGAATTGAATTGAAAACCGAAAAACTTGTGTGTGTGCATTTTATATAACTTAAATTATTTACACATTACATATTTATGCCTATTTTCTATATATAGTAATTTATGTAATTATTTATTATAGTAATATTATTCTTTTAAGCTAATGCTAAACAACAACAAACTGTTTAAGATTATGTAAAAATTAGCAGACAAAAAGAGAGACGAAGTCGGTACCTTAATATTATTTTATAAACATTTTCTCATCCCTATTTTCTTATACTTGCACAGCAGGCCATGTACAATACAAACACATAGCAGTGCTTGAATGGGGAATGTGACCTCTTTTACTTTTAGCAACTCATTGCGTGTGCTGACTGACCTTTGCTGGCAAGATGACGATCGACAGCAGCCGCAGCCGCAGCAGCAGCAGAACAGCTAGCTTAACAACTGCCACAGCGTAGATGTTGCAACTCAACACACACACGCGCACACACGCATATACAAATATTTCATGCAACTAACTGTTTAAGTTTAACTTCAACAATATTTTCAACGCTTAAACTTCACTTTCTTTCCTTCTCTCCATTTACATATTTTTCGCATAAGTTGTTTGCTAAATCTATAACTTCAACTTCTTGCTGTTCGCACGCTGTCAGCTAACGTACAAGTTGTTGCACTCAACTTACTTAACGCTCATACTTGAGCACTTGAACTTTAACAAACTTACTTTTTAACTATTTCATCTTTATTCTTTACACTCTTTTCAATTTTTATTCATTTACTCTCACTTCATGCACTTTCATACTGTTACTTTCAGCTCAGCTCAGCCTCACTTCATGAACTTTCAATCAAACTGCACTTTTCGCGCTCATCACTGTAGTGTTTCATTTACAAAGATACTCCTAAAACAAGCTCACTCATACTCCTCTCACTGTCTCTCTCGCTAGCTCGCCGCCGCTAAAAAGGCTCTATCTGTCTGTAAGCTATAGATAAAGATGGAACATCTTTCCTAAGACTGTCTCTTTCATACTACATTATCGCTTTAATAATTCTTCTTACTTTTAGCTCTTACTTTAATGCTCTTTCTTATACAAATCTTTATATGATTTTCATGCTTTAACTATTTTCTTACAAAAATACTTTGTAAAAATCTATGCTTCATGAACTTTTGATGATATTACTTTTGTTTTCAGTTAAAATTCTAGTCTTACGTATTAAATATACAAACGTACACGCATACATATACAACTATAAGCGTGAGTTTAGGAAAGCAAAAAAAAAAAAAATACAATCATCATATGATTATTCGCTAGAAACCTTTTACTTGCAAGAAAATACTCAATATTTTTTAAGCTTTCCTTTAACTACTTAGCTTTATTTACTGTTAAACTTTTCCTCATCTCTCATATGCTCTAAGAATCTTTATGTCTACTTTTACTCTCTCTTACATTCCACACACTCTATCTCTTGACACTGATTTTTATCCTTCATAATTGCGCCATAACTTGCCATAGTATTCTAACTCTAACTTATTTCAAACAAAACACTCACTCGTTTCACTTTGTATACTTGCTGACTCAACCAGCAATTTCACTCAATTTTTAATTTTACTCACTCAATTATACTCTATGTGCACTAAATAATCATACTCTGCATTCATTTCTACTTAGTAAAAATTCCGTTTACTTTGTTCTTTACTCATTCTATGTTTTCACTCAAATTTTAAGAATTTCATTTAACAACTTAAACTATTCAACTTCCATCTACTTCATTTAATATTCACGCTTCATTTCTTGTACTCTCGGCTTTTTCTCTTAATGTTTAAAAAATACTCCAGAAATTCTCTTTCACAAATTTCTTTACTCATACTACGTTACACTCATTTCTGGCACTTTAACTCTCATTTCACTGACTTTCTATACTTAAAACTCATTAACTCGTACTTTCTGTGAGTTAAGCAACTACCTATTTTTCATCTTTCTCAATATATCTCTCTCTCTTTCTCTCTTTTTCTCTCATTCTCTCGAATTCTCTCAAGTTTACCCACATTCAATTTACTTACAAGGGTACTCATATATGCACAAATTAAAACAATAAATAAATATAATGTTAGACATTTAAGTATTTATTGATTTGTTTCATATTTATTTAAATGAAATTAATGTGTTGAGTTAAACAAATTTTAACATGCATACAAACATATATGCATACATACATATTTATGTATATGAGAGAAATGATGAAGTAGTCCTCTTTTTATGTGAAATGTAAAACACAAGTTGTAAATGTTAAAATGCTTTAAACCAACAAAGAATAACTAATTATATACATATTTACGTGTATGTTAAGCGCACACATAAAATAGTAATTTTTAAGTGAATAAAACTCACTCACAAATAAAAAAAACTCAAACCCAAAAGCTAACTAAAAGTTTTAGAATTCCAAAATGTACATTTATTTGTATGTATTTATTTATAATTATACGTTGTCATGCATGCATTTCATTCAAATATGAACAAAAAACTACAAAAAAAAATTAAAAAAAATATAATAAAAATAAATTTTATTAATATTTTCAAATGCAGTACTTCATTTGTGTGGAGAGAGTGAAATGAAAGAGAAACTGAGTTGTGCATTTCGAAGTCTAAAATTTTTCGAGTGAAAAATTGAGTGGAGAAATTATGAGTTAAACTCTGAACTTCGCATTTTCGAGTGAATAGTTGAGTAAAGCAATTTTGAGTGAAAAATTTTCAGTGAAAAGTTGAATGAAGCAATTCTGAGAGAAATTTTTTCTTAATTATTTTTTTTTTTTTTCAAATTAAATGTACTATACTGTGATAATATTAAATGATGTTCAGCGCATATTCAGCGAAGAAATGTAATATTCACTCACTTTATAGCAATAAGACTTTGATAGTATTAACAGTTTTCACTGCTTTTAAAATCAAATTTTATTTTTTGTTCCACATAAATGATGTGTACAGTAAATGATTCAGCGGCGTTATTAACTGAAAATAATCATTTTAAACTAATTCATGAGCTAACTAATGCTGGTAGACAACAATATTCAATTACTGTTAAAATAATATTCAAAATATTTTCAGTTGAAATATTTCAATATTTTGAGGCGATTTCCCGAAATCGTCGCCAGCTTAATAAATTCCAAAGTCAGTTTTTTTTTCAATTCAGCGCATCTTCAGCGAGCGACCAAACGAGCATTTCAACACTTTCACTGACTTAAACGACCAATTCCAGCAATTAAAAGCAATTTTGAAATCAAGAAATTTTTGCAAATTATTAACTCAATCATTAAATAATTGAGTATAGAAATCTTTTCTAAATGCATAATATTTTTTGTGAAATTGTGAAAGTTTTTTTGTTGGCTTACAAATCAACAAAGGGCACAACAAGAAGAAGAAGGCATTATGCAACTTCATTTCATATCTACCTTTATATAAATAAAGATATTCGTATGAAGAGTGGCTGGAAGAAAACGAGATTTCTATGAAATGAAAGTGATGGAATAATTTCGAAGCGCAGAGAAAATGAAATTAAAATTCCAAACTTTATGGTGAAATTTAATAAAGTCATCAAACAAGTTTTTGAAACTTATGTAAATACATACATATAATGAACATAAACTATATATACAAACATACTCTTTACATATATATGTATAAATATGTTTATAGTATGAGTTTGCAAGTATGTGATAGTCAAACATCATATTTAAAGCAAAGCACATGATTACTTTACAGTTTCATATTTTCTGCTTTTAATTTCACAAAACTTGGAAAAAAACTGGGAAGAAACTCATTTGAAAGTTCCAGCAAGTGTGGTGAGTTATATATTGGGCATTTCACTCCTGCACAATGAAAAAAGCAATTTTAAATCGGTTGACAATTGAAGATGCCATTCTAATGCAAAAACAAAGAAAAAGAAAGAGTTTAACCAACAACGACAACGACAACAACTACCAATTCCAAACTTAAGCATATTTTCACTTTACACAATTCCAAAGAAATGCTTAATTAAAATATATACAGATGGTGAAAAAAATGCAGTCCAATGGAAATAAATGCCAATCATAGTCGCATATTTTGCTACATACGAGTACATACATACAAGCATGCTAGTGTGCTTGTATACATACAAGCATGCTAGTGTGCTTGTATATGTACATATGTACGTATGTTTGTATTTAAAAAGCAACGAAATCACGTTTTCTGACACTGAAGCACCTGCTGACCAACCGCAAATGAACAGGCCATAAGTTATTGACTACTTGTGTGCGTGTTTGTGTGTATGTGTTTGTGTGTGTCGCTTTGGAAGTGAAAGTAAATAACGGTTTGATATATGATCTTCTCCACATATCCGCTCATATATGGAGGTGTAGTACATATATTGTGACAAAACTTTAAATTGAAATCAGCGAGAAAAATTAAGAAATTTTTAAACTTTAATCAAACAAACAGAGAGTTTCGTTATTGGAGTAATAGCGATAACAAAAGCGTATAAAGTGAATAAATAGGCAATCCCTAGAATTTTTTTTAAATTTGACGTACCTAAGATCGAAACGGAAAGATGTTAATAATAAGGAAAAATCTGACGTCTCTCAGCTACTTGCAGCTCTGTGTGCACTATTGGTTAAGATAGGAAACCTCTGTTCATTTGAGCTCCAAAACAATTTGGAAAATTACTACCAATGAAAGTAAGAAAAATAAAGGTTTCTGTTATATTCTTGCTTTTAATTTGCCGAGATGCTTTACCGTACGATAATACCCTAGGCGATGGAACGGTCTAGTATATAAGCCATCGC